CCCAGGATCACGTAAACTGAGTATTGTGCATACCTGCAATCCCAGAATTTGGAAAGTAGAGGAAGGAAGACAAGAAGTTTATTTAAGTCTATACTTGGCAAGTTTGGGATTCATGAAAACTTATCTTAAAAGACAAAAGCAAAACAGAGGAAGAAGAGGAGGAGAGTGGAAGGAAAGGAGAACTATTTAGGTTTCAAAGCACACACCTATAGTCCTAGCACTTGTGAAGCAGAGGCAAGAGGACTGTTACAAGTTCAAGGCCAGCCTGTTCTTCACAGAATGTTCCAGGTCAATGAGGAATACAAAAGAACTTATGTGGAATAAGAGGAGGGGAAGGAAGGGGGAAATGGAGCAGGGAGCAGGGAGCAAGGAGGAGATGGGAAAGAATTGGTTCTAATTCACTATTTGATGGGGGATGTCCTTCTGTATATCTGTTTCTCTTATTGGTTAATGAACAAAACACTGTTTGGCTAGTGGCCAGGCAGGAAGGATAGGACTACCAGACTAGGATGAGGAGAATTCTGGCAAAGGCAGTCAGAGAAATCCCGCCAAAGAGAGTAACCATGTAGACCACAAAAGGAGTAATGGGTCTGAGCATTCTTGGGTAAGCCAACACCAATTCGAAATACATAGATTAGTAGTTATGGGTTAATAATTAAAAGAGAGCTAGCCAATAAGATGCCCTAGCCACCAGCCAACAGTTTAATAATTAATATAGCACCCATGTGTGCTTTTTTGGTGTTAAGGTAGCTTTGAGACCAAGCTGGTTGGAGAGAACCGCCAGCAACAGCTATTGGTTCAATAATTGCATCAAGGGCTATAAACACTATTAACGAGGCCTGGAAAGCTACTTCCTTCATAGACTTTCAAACCTGATGGCCACTGTTGCTGTTTCCCTGCCTCAAATTGGAGTTGATACTATGTGAGTCAGCCCCTCTTAAAATGAAGGTATTTGCAAGGTCAGAAAAAGCTGGGTCAGGAAAAGACCTTTGCTGGAATTTCAGACCGAGAGACTGAGTGACTATAAAAAGTTAATGTTTCAGGTCTGTTTTCTCATTTTCACAAGTGTCAGTGATAAAAGGAGTAAAACCTCTGGCTGAAGAGATGGCTCAGCTAATAAAGTCAATCTGTATTCAGATCACCAGCACCCACATAAAAGCAAAGTGCAGGAGCATGGGTCTTCAACTTCAGCACTGGAAGTCAGGAGAGCAGATGGTCAGATACCTGGAACTCATTGACCATGCAGTGTAGCCTTAAGTTAAGTGAGAGACTTTGTCTCAAAAACATAAGGTGAAGAATAATCAAGGAAGACATCTGACATTGTCCTCTGTGTGGACACACATAGACACACACACACACACACACACACACACACACACCTGTTATTATTCAGTGCATGCTACCTGTCAATCACTGACTCCACATCCAAGGCTATTAACTAATTTTACCCGCCCCCTACCACCCCTGCCATTTAAGGAAGTCCACGGTTACTATTAGGGAAAGCCATTTTTGACATGAGCAACATATTGCCTACTTAATCCAGCAAAATCTCATATCCACCACACTTTGGAAGACTCATTTCTCTCTTGCCCTTTTCCACCCTCAAGTGTCTTGAGAAGATCTCATAAAAGGAGAGAACATTATTTCCTACCACCAAGATAATCTAGATAAGCAGCTGAAGAGACAGCTCAGTGGTTAAGAGTGCTTGCTGCTCTTGAAGAGGAACTGAATCCAGTTCTCAGCACTTAAACCAGGCAGGTCACAACTTGTGTCCATCATCTCTGGCCTTTTTGGGCATCTGCACCCTTGCACATATTCACACACAGATACACACATATATACCTAATTAAAAATAGTTTAAAATTGATTTTTAAAAGCTAATTTCAATTGGTTGTTCAATACAAAATGGTTTGCCTTGAAAATATATTTACAAGTCACGTGTTGTATTTAGGACTGTGAGTGTGTTTCTATGTGTTTGGGTGCACAGGTGTGTGTGATATAACAGCGATTAATGAAAAAAGAGGCCATGCATTTAAAAGAGAGCGGGGTGGGGGAGCATATGGGACAGATGGTTTGGAGGGAGGAAAAGGAAAAGGGAAGTGATAGGATTATGTTATAAAATCAAATATAAAAGAAATAGTATAAAGAGACAATTTCAGAAATGTCGCCTGCAGCCATAGTCATGCAAATGCCTCCTCTGAGCAGAGGAGAGGAGTATCTATTGAAGCCCCAGGAAGGAGGGAGGTAGGTGTGTAAAGAAGTGCTTTATGCAGACTGATATGTTTATGGTGGTCTCTCTGGGCCACCGAAGCTATCTTCTGACAGTTTCCTAATGTCCACACACCATATTTTTTTGTTGTGGTAACATACACGTAAAAAATCCACCTGATACTTTTTTTCTTGTGTGTTGGTGCTTGCATGAAAAGGCCACCAACCTTAGTTTTTGAGACAAGGTCTTGCCATGCCTTTCAGTCTGGTTTTAAACTCACTATGTAGCCCATGCCAGTCACAGAGTCACAGATCTTTCTGACCCTGTCTCCCAAGAGCTGAGGTGACAAGGGTACACCCCCACCACACCCAGCTTAAATTTTACCACTTGAAAATTAAATGTCATTAAGGGCATTTAAAATGTTTTGCAGCCATACCCCTATCTAATTCTAGAATTATTGCATCACTCAAAAGAAAACAAATTCCATACCCCTTGAGCAATAATTCTTCTCTCCCCCTCCGTGAGGCTTCCTTACCCACTAACATGCTGTTTCTTCATGGGTATTTGTTATAAGCTGAATAACACATCATATGACATTTTGCATCTGGATTCCTTTGTTCTATGCCTTTAAAGTGTATCTGTTCTACCATGTATTAGTTCTTCATTATTTTGTTTTACTTTTTAGGAAAAGTGTCTCATTGTATATCCTATGGAATGAAGACCTCAAATTTAGCTAACCTCATGTCATAGAACCCCAAAAAGCTGTGATTACAGGCTACCACAATCAGCGTGTTTCATTCCCTTTTATGTCTGAAACCTATATATCAAATGGAAGTATCACATTTTGGGCGTCCAATTTGTCTGTTTAGTTTTCCTCAACTAGACACATGCTAGAGTTATCTGGGAAGAGGTAGCTGTGACGATAAATCTTGCCTCAACTGAGAAATTGCCTCGATCAAATTGTCCTGGAGATCAGTCTGTGTGCCATTTTCTTGATTAATAATTGATGTAGGAGGGCTGGAGAGATGGCTCAGAGGTTAAGAGCATTAACTGCTCTTCCAGAGGTCCTGAGTTCAATTCCCAGCAACCACATGCATGGTGTCTCACAACCATGGATAATGAAATGTGGTGTCCTCTTCTGGTGTGCAGGCAGAACACTATATATGTAATAAATAAATAAATCTTAAAAAGAAAAAAATAATTGACATAGGAGGGCTCAGCTTACTGTGTGTGGTGCCACCCTTCAGTGGGTGGGCCTGTGTTGTATAAGAAAGCACGCTGAACAATCCACAAGACCAACCCAAAAAGCAGCATTCCTCCATGGCCTCTGCTTCAGCTCCTGCCTCCAGGTTCCAACCTTGACTTCCCTTCATTATGGGAATATAAAATATTAACTGAAATAATCCCCTTACTTCCCAAATTGCTGTTGGGAAGCAAACTAGGGCAGGTTGTCTTTATATTCAACCTATAATGAAAATTGCTGCTATAGAAATTAGCACAACTTCTGTTTGAACACAAGTTTTTAAAAAATATTTTATTTATTTATTGTATACAACATTCTGCTTCCATGTATATCTGCACTCCAGAAGAGAGCACCAGATCTGATAACAGTTGTGAGCCACCATGTGGTTGCTGGGAATTGAACTCAGAACCTCTGGAAGAGCAGTCAGTGCTCTTAACCTCTGAGCCATCTCTCCAGCCCCAAACACAAGTTTTTTTTTTTAACCATAACTTTATTTATTCTTCAACATCTGCAAGCACAATCATCCTCACAGTCTTGCCCTCTTAACATCACCCAGAACACACCCCTCTGCCACCATGTCCTCTCCTGTTCCTAACAGTCCATTGAGAGCTGCCTGCTGGAATATTGACCTGTCCTGTTGGCTTGATCATATACTGAAGTGCTAAACACAAATTTTATTTGCATACCATTCACCCAGTTTTTGTTTTTGTCTTGTTTTGTTGCTTTTCCTCTTGCAAGTTAATGATCTACATCAGCCAAGTGGTTCCCTTGTGGGTAGAGCGCATATTAGCAATTGTGGAAATATAAGCATAACCTTCCCCTATCTGATAAGCAATTAAAAACATGGGTAAGCATGTCAGGGGATGGTGAGCTTGCTCTAGCTTGGATATGAGGGACTGGGAGGGAAAATAGATTGGGTACAGCAATAAAGACAAGGAAAACTGCCTCCTTTTTTGGTATTTTCAAAACTAGGTCCTGAAGAGATTGGTTAGCGGTTTAAAGTGCTGATATACAACTGTGAAGGCCAGAGTTTGAATCCCCAGAAACCCATGTAAATGTCATTTGGGCTCAGTGGTTCACCTATAATTCCAGTCTCAGAAAGAATAGAGAGCCAATCTACCTAACAAGGTTAGTCATTGCTGTGAGCTCTGGGTTTGATTGAGAGACCCCGTCTTGATGAATATGGTGGAGAGTAGTAAAGTATGAAGCCTGACATCAACCCTAGGGCTCCACATATGTGCAGAAGCATCACAGACATGCATGCACTCATACATAAAAAGAAAACACGCACTCATGAAAACTGGAAAAAAATGAAGACAGGCATAGTAGCATCTGCCCTTAATCCTAGCACTCAAGAGAAAGAGGCAGGCAGATTTCCCTGAGATTGCAGCCACTTTTGTCTATAGAGAGAGTTCTAGGCTAGAAAAGGATGTGTCCTGAGACCCTGTCTTGAGGAGAAAAGAAAAGGTTGGTTAAATAAATAAATAAATAAATAAATAAATAAATAAATAAACATTCCTGTTTCTCAATGTTCTAGGAGTGAACAAGATGGACACCAACATCTCTCTCCTCATGAACTTGTCTGCAGCGAACTCCATGAATATATCTGCAAGAAGCCAGTCAGTATCTGCTGGCTACACGGCTCTGAATGTCTTCTCATACTTGATGTTTGGAATCACCTTCGTCCTTGGAGTGCTGGGCAATGGGCTCGTGATCTGGGTGGCCGGCTTCCGAATGGTCCGCACAGTCACCACCATCTCTTACTTGAACCTGGCCATTGCTGACTTCTGCTTTACCTCCACGCTGCCGTTTTTTATCGCCTCTAAGGCCATGGGAGGACAATGGCCATTTGGTTGGTTCATGTGCAAGTTCGTATTTACCATAGTAGACATAAACCTGTTTGGAAGTGTGTTCCTGATCGCCCTCATTGCGCTAGACCGCTGTATTTGTGTCCTGCATCCAGTCTGGGCTCAGAACCACAGAACCGTGAGTCTGGCCAAGAAAGTAATTATCGGACCCTGGATTTGTGCTTTTCTCCTTACCTTGCCAGTTATCATTCGTCTGACCACGATCCCTAATAAACCTGGGCCAGGGAAAACAGCCTGCTCTTTTGACTTCTCCCCTTGGACCAAAGATCCTGTAGAGAAGAAAAAGGTGGCCATCACCATGCTTACCATCAGAGGAATTATCAGATTCATTATTGGTTTCAGCACACCCATGTCCATTGTTGCCATTTGCTATGGGCTCATAGCCACTAAAATCCACAGGCAAGGCCTGATCAAATCCAGCCGTCCCCTGCGGGTCCTCTCTTTTGTCGTGGCTGCCTTTTTCCTCTGCTGGTGCCCATTTCAGGTAGTAGCCCTCATATCCACAATATTCAGAGTCAGTGAACGCAGCATGACTCCAGGCCTCACAACTGCAGTGAACGTCACAAGCTCCTTGGCCTTCTTCAACAGCTGCCTCAACCCAATGCTCTATGTCTTCATGGGCCAGGACTTCAGAGAGAGACTAATCCACTCCCTGCCTGCAAGTCTAGAGAGGGCCTTGAGTGAGGACTCAGGCCAGACCAGCAACACAGGCATCAACTTGGGCAACAATTCCTCGTTACCTTCTGAAGACAGTGAACAGGCAAAGTGAAGAGAGGGCTCCAACTCAAGTTTTGTCTGCTTTGAGTTCCCCTGTGCTATAATAAACATTCCCTGTCGACCTTCAAGCTACACACTCAATAGAAAAACTTGAGAAGACTTTTTAGATTTTTGTTACCTCAACAGATCAATAAAGAGAAAAGACAAAAATAATATACATTTTCTTGTTGGTCTGAGATAGTTACAAATGACAGCTAAGGCTATAGCGCTGTTACTAATGCTGTCTACTTCCAGTCCCCTCACAGGCTGTAAACCTGCAAATTTTCTTAAGTGTCCTTCTGTGGGTAATAGGTGTATGTTTCCTTTAGATAATGAAGAAGGAAGGGGAAAGACTCTTGAGCTACACAATTTCCTGATCCCTTGTGTTGAAATATTTGCCATACCACTTATCATCATAAGACCAGTGTTTTCTGGTGGCACACTCCTTTTATCCCAAGACTTGGGAGGCTGAGGCAGGTGGATCTCTGTGAGTTTGAGGCCAACCTGGTCTACAGAGCTAGTTCGAGGACAGGCTCCAAAGCTTCACAGAGAAATGGTGTCTTGAAAAGCCAAAAAAAAAAAAAAACCCAAAAAACAAAAAACAAAAAAAAAGACCAGTGTTTTCATTTATGTCTCTCCATGTACATGAAACAAAATTTGTCCAGTTTGTGTAGAAGCTGGTATTTGATGCACATAATTCAAAGTGAATGACCCCAGAATGGTACTCCAGGCTTTACCCTCAACAGCAGTGAGTTAAGTGTCACCCACCCACCCCACCACCACACACATGCCATGATTTGTGTTATTTGTGTTCTTTTAATCCTGACCACTCTGACTAGAGTAAGATAAAACCTCAAAATAGTTTTAATATGAAGTT